CGCCGAGCCTCTCTGAATGGCGTCAGTCCGGCCGGGTCTCGGGCCGGGCCGAGGTGGGCTCCGCGCGGCTTCGCCCCACCACGCCCCGCCCGGCCTCGCTCCGCGCGCGCTTCCGTTCCATCTTCCATAATTCATAAAATGGTTCAAAATCTGGGCGGCGGCGGCGGTGGCGGCCGACCGACCCGCCACAACCGGAGCCGACACTGAGAGCTCGGGGCCCTATTGGTCGCTCTCCTTCTACACCGCGCAATGGGCAATTCCAGAAAGGGGCGACGCGACGAAGACGGAGCGGAAGACGGAAAGGGACAGAGGAATAGAGAAAGAGCCGGGAAGAGCGGGGAAGCAAGAGAGGGAGAGAGGGAAAGAGAGAGGGGAAAAGAAAGAGTAAGGAAGAGGGAGAGAGGATGAGGAAATGGAAGCGAGAAAAGGGAAAGAAAAACAGGAGGGAGGAAAATGAGAGAGCAAGAGAGAGCAAGAAGAGAGAGAAAGAGGAGAGAGCAAGAGGAGGGAAAGAGGAGAGAGGGAAAGAGGAGAGAGAGAAAGAGGAGAGAGAGAAAGAGGAGAGAGAGAAAGAGGAGAGAGAGAAAGAGGAGAGAGAGAAAGAGGAGAGAGAGAAAAAGGAGAGAGAGAAGGAGGAGAGAAAGAGAGAGAAAGAGGAGAGAGAGAGAGAAAGAGAAGAGGGAGAGAAAGAGGAGAAAGAGGAGAAAGAGGAGAAAGAGGAGAGAGAGGAGAGAGAGGGAGAGGGGAGGGGGAGGAGGGGAGCAAAAGGAGAGGCAAACGCAAACAATGGTAAGAGAGCCTCCCCCGACTGACTGCAGCGCAGCAACGCGCGCGCTCCAAAGAGGCGGTCTGGTCGCAGCGGCTGCAGCAGGCCGGTTGAGCAGCGGCGAGCCGTGCGTCCGGAGCTTGCTCAGCGACGACGGCAAACAGCGCGGACAAACCAACCGGATGAAAAATTTAGCAGCGCCGCGTGTTTTGCCGGGTTGTCGGCCACACTGCGTCCGCCTTTAATTCCGCCAGGCCCATCCCGTCCCCCGCCCGCTCTGCGCGCTCTGCGGCGTTCTTCTTCAACCCCCTCGTCGTTGTGGGGGGGAGCAGGCTGGAGTTGGGACGGCCGACCCCCCGAGCAACGGCAGGCAGCAGCTGAGCCTGACGGACAAGGGACGGCCGGAAAAAGAATACACGGCTTAAGATCCGCTTGTGGCGCTGCTGCGCATGTTTAAGGCAGGAGCCCGGCTCGAGCAGTCCTATACCGCACTAAACTTACACCAGGAGGCTGCTGCTGGACTTGCCTGGCCCGGAACGCTCTCCTCGCCGAGCTCCTCGCGGCGGGCGCGGCAGTGTAAGCTGACAAGATCAACAGGGCGGACAGGGCCTGCCGGGGCCCGCGGGGGCCTGACGCCGGACGGACGGGGTCCGATAACTTCATTCCGTCCTCCTCAAGCCCCTTCCCTCCACCGTCCCCCCCGGCCGGCCTTTCCTCTCATCCCTGCCAGCCGCTTTCTTCAAACGGGGTAACGAAAAGCCTCGAGGGGTAACCGGAAGAAGAGGATCAGAGGCTGTGGGGAGGGATGGTGC